TGAGTTTAAGCTTACAGGCCATAGATGTGGTCAACTGGCAGGCACTGAACAAAAAACTGGCAAGGCTGACACCAAAACTATTTTCTGTTTCATTCTTGTTCCTTCAGTTACCATTGAGTTTATATTACATTCTTTGCTTGGCAACAGAATTACTGGTGTGAACTTAGTACTGAATTAGAGAAACATAGTTATTCTTTGAACAACTGCTGAAGAGTTCTGGAGTTGATATTTCCAAATGGACTGGATATAAAGCAGGTAGCACTGTGAAATGAGCTCTTTTAACTCTTTATACTAAAAAATGAGACAGATGAAAGACCTGGTTGAATTAATTCATCCTTTAAGATCACATCCAGGGTGCAGCTACTCAAAGAATCCAAACTCTACCTGGCATTTGAGTACAAGCCCTCTGGCTGAGACTGAGAAGAACAGCAAACAGCTAAAGGGAAGACTTACTTGGGAAAACAAAGGTAAAGATTTGAAATCTTTACTGTCTTTACTAGGTTTAATCATTTAAAATTACCATCTTTGTAGGTCAAGAACAATAGAATATCAACCATTTTATTTAGCTCAGCTTAATTTACTGTTGTTCTTGGTTACTTCAGAGCCTTCTCCACAGGTCCCAGGAGCACACACAAAAGAGGATAGTGGGTACTGGAGAGAGGCTTCATGAAGGTAGACACAATACTGCCCTCCCAGACCACTCATCTCCTCGCCTAACTGCCAGAGGTACTAGTCCCAGATCCTTGCTAACTACAGACTTCAATTATTAAACTCAAAGGTGAGAAGGGAAGACTCAAGAGCTTCCACGTCCACTTCTAACCTCTTTATTCATTCCGCATTACTCTTTCCTACCAGAGGAATGATGCATCTGATTGCTAAGTAGCAAAAACCTAACATCTGCTAAGTAACATTTCTCCAGTTGGTGGAGTTCATGTATAAGGACTCTGCACAAAGGCCAAAAAAGTGATTCTGAGTATTTGTGCCTGCTCTGCTGCCTCTAATTCTCAGGAGGGGCATCCTGTGCAGACTTAGGATGTCCATTTGGCCACAGATCAAATGTGATTTCCAACTTCACTGAATAAAAATTAAATCTTTATTTCCATCTCTCTAGCATCTATACTTTACTTCTCAGCATGTTCTAGACTCTGAGATGAAGTGAAGAGGTATAATCAATGATCAACCATCATGTATAGCCAGACATGTTTTAACACAGGATAACAGTTTAATATAGAGAAGGCATGAAAGAATATGAAGCCATAAAATAGATAACTCATAATTAGGAAGAGTCAAGAAAAAAATTTATGCTATAATCCTAAGTAAATTTTAAAAATCAGAAATACAACATAGCATATTCTACGATACATCTGAGAATAGTTATGAAGCATGAATGTGAGAAATGGAAAGTACGAGAAAGAGAGAAAATGAGAAAGGGAGGGAAGGAAAGGATGAAATAAAAAATAAGGTAATGATAATATGGAAGACTTTTAAAAAATCTTCTTCATGTTGTTGTAATATCTTTCAGTATCTATGCCTCAGGACAAAACCTGAAAGGAAATATATAAAGGAGGCTCTTAGAACAGTGGAACTCCAGATGTATTTTAACACCTTTTTTATTGCCTAATGCAGTGCTGCATATGTACAAAAACAAATTTTATTTAAATAAATATAAATCAGGCTGCTCAGAGTACCTTGCCTTCTTGCACACCTGGGAGTTCTTTTTCTAGAAAACTATCTATCTTATTTTCTGCTAATCCGAGGCAGAAGCCATAGCCACTCTTGCACTGAAGTGATATACTCAGGAAAGCTGAAACTTTCAGATCAGATGTCTCTCTGGCACCAGGTCAAGGTCAGAAGCTTTCAAGTAATCAATGAAATGCTCAGATAGCAATGGGTTCAATTCCCCAGATTATCAACAAGGACCTCAGTATAACTATGTCCTCTCTCTCTACAATCTATTAGCAACATTTCTAAATTCACTCTCCACCAACCCTCACACATTACTCAAACATTGTTCCCATTTCACTGGCAACTCTTCTCCATCCTCATCCATTCTTCCTGTTTCCCCCACCCCAGACCTCATTTAGGAAAAACACACACACACACACACACATATGCTTGGATTAAGCCTCTTCTAATATATCTAGTGTTTTAAGAATCCAGCATTAATAAATAATAATTAAGAAAATAATCTCTTCATTGTACAAGCAACTCTGAAGAAAAATAGAGCAAAACTGAGCATAAGCATTTGCTGGAATTATAAACTGAAATATAGAAAAGAAAAACAACTCTTCGTTTCCAAACATAATTTTCTTTCTAAGCTTTTCCTCTAGGGATATGGGTATAATTATGAACTTAAAGCCTATGAACACTGTCTAGAGGAAAAGTGTTAGTGTTTTCTCATCTCTTTGCTTATCTAAATTCCACCTACTCTTTAAGGCTCTAGTACTTGAAGCCTTGTTTAACCTTCTCCATGAAGTATTAATAACAGCTAAAATTTATTAAGCACTCACTATACGGCAGGCACACTGGCCCACACACCTGGCATATATCGACTCAATCCTCACAACTCCTCTCTGAGGTAGGTATTATTATTTTCCCCAATTTACAAAGGAGGAAACAGAGGCACTGAAAATTCTAAGTAATTTTGCCCAGGTTACACAGTCTGTAAGCAGTAGACCCAGGATTTAAACTTAGGCAATCTGGATCTGGGCATATCACTACGTCATTTGACCTCTTTTCCTAAACATCTTAGTCTTTTCAAAGACTACAGCCCAACTAACCTGTCCTTTATACTGTCTGTCATATACACCCCACAATAAGTTTATTATACCCTCTGTACATTCTTTCTTGTATTCATACTTGTTTCATATGTTTGCACTTGCTCCCCAACTAAATTATAAGTTCCTCACACTCCAGGCAACTGTAACACTTGTTTCTTGCCCCAACTTCTAACAGAGTGCTGGAAGTGCACTCAACATACACTTTTTAGCTGATTTTAATCCTTGACAACTTCTACAATACTAAAAGACAGATTTTCTTCTATATAAGTACAAAATATTTTAAAAGGAGAAAACTGAAATATTCCCTTTGATGACAAGGGAAAACTGGGTGTAATCATGCCCTTGCTACAAATCCTGAAGAACATGATGTCACAGGCTATGACTAGGCGAAATTATTTCAACACCTGAAGGATAACTCACACAGTGTCAGATTTAGCGTTACTAAAGTTAGGAAACTGACTAAATATATATATTTATTTTTCTTCTGAATGCATCTTCTCCTAGTGAGTCATAACTACAAAACTTGTATTTCTATCTCCTAAAAGAGAACACTTAAGGAAAATCAGATGAAGTTTTTCCTCTGCATATGTATAACCAGTTAAGTGACAATCTGTGTTATCAGGAATAGCACACACAAGGGAAAAAACATACTAAAACTGGAAAGGCTTCCAGGCCTGGTGAGCGGAATCAATTTTAAGTCATGTTTTTTCATCCATCAAAACAATAAAATGGGAGTTCAAAGACATAATCTATCTTGAATCACACTAACCAACCCACGTATCAAGTCAGTTCAGAGTTAAGTAAAAAGTTTAATACCGGATATTGGGAAGTACCACAGACCGTAAGTAAAAGAAAATACCCTTAATAAAACAGGACTGTTACCCAAACATTAAGTTTCTTGACTATAAATCCAATAACATAAAAAATCTGGGGAGCTGAGAATTTCCTGGTGGCCCAGTGGTGAGGACTTGGTGCTTTCACTACTGGGGCCTGGGTTCAATCCCTGGTCGAGGAACTAACTAGGATGGGAACTAAGATCCTACAAGGTGCACAGTGTGGCCAAAAAAAAAAGTCTGGGAGCTGCAAGTCTTAAAAATAATTTTCAGAGGATAAAGGAGAGAAGCTTAGGGTTTTATGGGCTTCTTACTGAATACCAGTTTTCAGAAATACCTGCAAATACAGTTTTAATTTATACACAAATAAACACTAAAAATTTTGCTTGTTCTCAAAACTTGAACTATTTCCAAAAAAAGGTTAATGTGATCCTGAAATACAGAGAAATTCTGATTATGGGATTTAATTTTTTTTTCTTTTAGCATCTGTTAGCTTTTTAGGGCTAACCAAACTATATGGCAGTAGGAGCAAAAGCAAACCAGTGTTTTCTGTAGGCAGAGGGGGGGGTCTACCCTTATGAGATACAGTGTCTTAATGCTTATAAACAAAAAGTACTTAATGTCACTTAAAACTGTACACCTTAGGGCTTCCCTGGTGGCTCTGGGGTAAGGAAGCCACCTGCCAATGCAGTAGAAATGGGTTTGCTCACTGATTCAGAAAGATCCCACATGTCACATGGCAACTAAGCTTGTGCACCACAACTATTGAGCCCACGCTCTAGAGCCCAAGAGCCACGCCTACTGAGTCCACCTGTCACAACCACTGAAGCCCACAGGCCCCAGAGTTTGTGCTTCGCAGGAAGAGAACCCACATTATATAAAGAACTGGAAATTAACTACAGGTCCTATCTTGAGACCTGGAAGGCAAGTAAATATCTTATCCTTAATCTGGCACCCAAATTCCAATACATATACCAAACTACCACATTCATTAAAGGTAATCTCTAGAAACCAGTACCTCTGTGTAAAACTGTAGGCTGTGCCTCACCGTGACTTCAATTATAACTCATCCCCTGCTCTTCACTTGACAGTCACACCACTAAGAGTCTGCAACACAGTTATTAAAAAAAAAAACACAAGCTTTCCAATCTCACACTACATACACAATATAGAAGCAGAAAATAACCGAAAACACCACCTAATCAAAGGTTTACTAAAAATAACATGCCAAAGCCCCAACTATTGAACACAAATCTTTCTAAGACTACTCTTGCCTACATTTTCCTTAAACATTCTGAGGTTTTGCTGCACTGGCAAGTGAAAATCTGTCACTGTTTTAGCACGAGCCCACTACCTAAAGAATCCATAGAGCCAAAGAAAAACTTACCTCTGAAAACTGTGTTGATGTGCTGCTGCCACCACCTAAAAAACTGAAGAGAAAAAGCAATGAGAAGTGATTCTATTTTCTATTCCCAGGAATAAGCTTCCCTCCCAGAACCTAAATATAGAATGGTACAATGAGAACAAATCCCAATAAGGAAAAATAGCTCATTCCAATGTGACACCTACAAAGGAAATTATGAAGAACCTGCATGTGGATTAATCTATGAGAAATACTATAACAAACTACAAAATCAAGGAAAAACCAAGTGAAAAATTAGAGGGGCCATCACAGAGAAGGAAGAAGGACCCACAGCCAGCAATGCAACTCAAACCTGAGCAAAGGAAGAAATATATTTATTCTCAGAAGCTAAAAAATAAAACTAGATTCTCCAAATAATATTTCACTAAAAAACCACTAACCATCAGATGAACACACAACATTTGAAACTACTAGAAATGATTAAATGTAGTAATGCAAGGGGTCTGGTATAATATTTAGCATCTTATAAAAGGGCTCAATAAATATTTTTTCTTCTGATAATGATTATCTTACCCACCCCTCAGAGCCATCCTCCATTAAGACTTTACTAAACTCACCATTGGAAGGACTGATGCTGAAGCTGAAACTCCAATACTTTGGCCACCTCATGCGAAGAGTTGATTCATTGGAAAAGACCCTGATGCTGGGAGGGATTGGGGGCAGGAGGAGAAGGGGACGACAGAGGATGAGATGGCTGGATGGCATCACCGACTCGATGGACATGAGAGTTTGAGTAAACTCCGGGAGTTGGTGATGAACAGAGAGGCCTGGCGTGCTGCGATTCATGGGGTCGCAAAGAGTCAAACATGACTAGCGACTGAACTGAACTGAAACTCACCAAACAAGACTCATCCACAGCCCTCTGCACTCTTGACTGTGATTCTAAATTTGACCTTATATTATACATATCTAGAACTTGTTTCACCCATTTCTACTTCTTACCCTTCTTTCAGAAACATAAAATTCAGAGGGTAAATACTGTATTTTATTAATACCACAAATATATGTATTTATTATATATCAGCCATTATACACAGCACTCACCACTTTTGATAATGCTGCTTTACTATATCCTGCATTGATAACTCAAAAGTAAACATTACTGAATTAATATTGCATGTGTAAACCAATTCCCAAAGACTAGGAAAAAATATTAGATCCCACTGTCCTCACGAAATTTGCAAAGAGAGAAAACTGGCTAAAACACTTTGACAGAAAGGGGATGGAAAGAATACCAAGAACTGCTGGATATCACTTTTACTTCAAGAGACATACAAGGGCACAAAAGTACACACGTTAGCACACAAGCATGCACACACTCACCCCAATGCTATAAAGTCCACAAATTACTACAGCAGCTTTCATTTTCAGAATTACAATAGCAATCCGGGCACTGCACTCAGCTCATTGAGAAAACACACACACCCTGGTTAGTCTGGAACCCAAAGTGAAAATACGAAAGCTAACGCCATTCTCTATCTATGGCATCATTCTCAAGCCTTATTCTCTGATTAGAAACCATTTAACAACTGTTATTTGTTTCAAAAGTTTAAATGTCTTTTGTAAAAAACACTTCCTATGTAGAACAAGCCCCAAATTACCAGTGCCTCTATAAATAATTAAATTACCACTGTATCCATTTTATTGCTCAAGCCTAGACAGGCTTCCCGGAGAAGGCAATGCCACCCCACTCCAGTACTCTTGCCTGGAAAATCCCATGGACGGAGGAGCCCGGTAGGCTGCAGTCCATGGGGTCACTAAGAGTCGGACACGACTGAGCGACTTCACTTTCACTTGTCACTTTCATGCACTGGAGAAGGAAATGGCAACCCACTCTAGTGTTCTTGCCTGGAGAATCCCAGGAACGGGGAGCCTGGTGGGCTGCTGTCTATGGGGTCGCACAAAGTCGGACACAACTGAAGCGACTTAGCAGCAGCAGACAGGCTTCCAGGGCTCTTACTGCCTTTACCATATATTGACAGCTTCCAGGATTCAGGTATCTTTGGTAATTAAAGCTATCAACTCTTTCTTTTAGGGTTCTTCCATCCCTGCAACTCCCCCAGCCTTCCCTTTCCTTAAATTCCTTTGTATATTAAGAATGACAGAGCTGGGGTTCCTTGGTGGCTCAGTGGTGAAGAATCCACCTGCCAATGCAGGAGACACGGGTTCAATCCCTGATCCAGGAAGACCCCACATGCAGCATGGCAACCAAGTCTGTACACCACAACCCGTGAGCCTGTGCTGCAGAGCCTGGGAGCTGCAACCACTGCGCCCGCTACTGAGCCCCTCTAGAGCCCTCGGGCCTCAGCCATTGGAGCTCACAGGCCATAGAGCCCTTGGTCCACAAGAGAAGCCACCACAATGAGAGGCCTGAGCACCGCAACTGGAGAGCAGCCCCTGCTCGCAGCACCTAGTAAAAAGCCCATGCACAGCAGCAAAGGCCCAGCACAGCCAAAAACAAATAAATAAATAATTTTTAAAAAAATAATGATAGGGCTAATCATAGAGAAGGGATAATAAAAACAAACACATTTTTCTGAGAAATGTTACAAAGCTTAAGAAAATTTACAAGATGCTCCTCCAGATGAATGTCTAACAGCAAATGGAACCCATTATCCAATGCTCACATAAGGACTTGCTCTCATTAATTTTTACCATCCACTACTTAACACTGTAATTGCTAAGTATTCAAATCAGCAAATGTTCATAAACTTTATAGAAGGAAATAAATACCCTGCTACCTCTAAGACACTGATTCTAAGCAAAGATTTCTTCAACTATTTAAAACACTGATCTTTCAAAAGACATGATCTTTGCATTTGAATATCTGCTACCAATAGCACCTGTACAAGACAACCTTTGACTCACAAAAGCACAAATAAAAAACTTAACTCAAGTGAGAGCAGGAGCCACAGAATTCAGTTTTCTTCTAGAAAAGATTCATCTTGTAGTTAATCACCAACCTCATGGCTAAAGAAACCAAAATTAGTATTCAAAACCTTTGAAAAAATGCTCCCCCCGAAAACAACTAACATGCTCTATAACACATGCAGAGCATACCCTGCTTGAAACAAGTATATGATGCAATTATAACAGCACAAATAAAAAGCTATCCCAAGTTAGCATGCCATCCACACAGAATTGCTAATTCTGCCATCATGCGAATCTTTTAGACTGAGCTGGTATTGTGTTATTTAAAACCAAGATTATTACATCAAGTGTTTGTAGCAAACTAGATCCTCATGCCATATGTTGCCCCAGAAGCTCCAGGTCAGATTATACATATAATCACTGATCATTAATAAAGTTAAACTAATTGTACATACTGTAAAATGTGTAGTTTTTCCTGGTTGTGGAAGGGAACTTCAACTTTATATTCTGCCAACAGCAACAGTAAAGGAATTATTTACTGCCATTAAAACCCCCAAAGTCACTCCAAGGTTAAAAGAAGCCCTCCTATCAACACTATTTTACTTTTTAATAAGCTTTCATAGTTTTAATCATATTAATCAAGAAGGAATATATAACACTGTCACTTTCAGAAATAACTTCCCCCTTTTATAGGTTTATACCATCAGTAAGAGCAACAAGAACCAATTTCAAGCATTACCAACACACTAATACTTCAGTGGCAAGATGGTATGTTTGACCTCAATAATCCTAATAAGCACAAAGGACCCAAGGCTTCCTCAAGAATAACAACTCAGTTTCCCTGGCTAGAAGAGCCTGTTTATCTTACTAGGTAATCTTTGTCATAAGTTGCTCCCCAGCCCACCAAAGGGGTATAACAGCAATCTACCTTCAGGCAACAGAGTAGTCACTAAAAACCAACCAAATAATCCAAGAGAAACCCCAAAGTCTCAGAAAATATATGAAAACTCATCAAATTTACTCTGATAGGGATACAGAGGTTTCCCAAGAACACCACAGTAGATCTCAAGACACCTACTATCACATTTTCCTAATTTTCCCATTTTTCTTCCCCTTTGTTCTGCTACTTTTCTTCTCTCTCTCTCTCTCAGCAGAGAGTGTAAGTTATAAAACAAATTTCTTTCTATTCAGTTGATGCTAAAAAACATAATTTTGATAACAGAATGCCTTATTTATTCATGGGCTTGTACTATACCTGGAATCATCTGTCACTTCTTCAATAAAACCTGATTCACATCTGGGACAAGTATATTCCTATAAAAGAAAGGAAGACAAAAATGAGAGTCTTTCACCAGAAAGCTAAGTATATACTTACAGAACAATATGCAGTACACAAGCTGATGTTGTGAAATGCTGTTTGTACTTGCTGACTCTCAGGATAGTTTTTTCTGTTATACTACAGCAAGTAATGAATTCCATGTGATAATTATAGAATGGCTTCATAAGTGATTCCCATTGAAAGCTAAAAGGAAGAATGTCAAAGTTTGTTTTCTTTAACTTGAATTTTTTTTAACTGTAATGAGTTCATTATCTAATTTTCTCTTCAAATCTAGTGAAAAAGCTCCAAGAGATGTATCAGAGCAGTAAAAGATTATAACATGCAATGGGCATAGATATTGCTATTTTTTTCCTGCTATGCTGTTTTTTTCCTTTATCTACTCCTTGCCTTTTTGCCACACTATCATAACCCAAGCTAGTACTGGCTCTGAACAATGACAGGAGACATAAAATGAATCACAGAATAAATCAATTTGTAGACTAGGAATTTACAGTGAAGTTTTACAGTACTTCTAACCTATTTTTTGATTATCAATGGTTCCAAATAAAACTTAAATATTCTCAGGTATTCTATAGACATGTTAATTCAAATAACCAGAATAATTCCATTAGATCAGCTTCTATTTCCTTCATTACCAGGAATCTTTCTTTTAATTAAATATCAAGCTTTTGGGCCAATTATCTGAGTCTAGAACTTCTGGGTTAACTTGATGGATTTCTCCACTCCAAGGCTCTAACTGGGTGGCTCAGACAGTAAAGAAGCTGCCTGCAATGCGGGAGACAGGGGTCCGATCCCTGGGTCAGGAAGATCCCCAGGAGAAGGAAATGGCAACCCACTCCAGAATTCTCGCCTGGAGAATCCCATGGACAGGGGAGCCTGGCGGGCTACAGTCCATGGGGTCACAAAGAGTTGGACGTGACTGAACAACATTGGGGCTGATAAGAAAGAATATACTTCAGAGGTTGCTTTACCACAATTTTAAAAAGTATATTTTAACTATTAATACCTATTAAAATAGATCTGGAAAAGACATCTTCAACTATTTTCTTGCTCACTATATTTTCTAAACCCCAAAGTTCGTCTTATCAGAAGGAAAAGTAAGCTGTATTTGCCTACTCAAACAGAGTTAGAAATGTAACTCAAACATTCAAATGCTTTCTTAAAAGAGGCAAAAAGAAAAAAATCAATCCCTTCTGTCAAGATTAGTTTGGTGAGCAGTCAATGTAAGAAAAACATTTAAATTTAATAAAACAATTGCTTTAAGCAATGCACACTGGAAATATAAACAAATACCAAATTTCTCCTGAGGGAATCAGGGAAAGCTTTATCTGAAACAGAGACTTAAAATATTAGTCTATTTGCTCAATAAAAAAGGAAATTATGAGCTAAAAATCATACTAGAATATAGCATGCATGGTGGTTAGAGGGGAATGGTATGATGAGTGTGAATAGGCAGGCTAAAACCAGACTATGGAAAACTTAGATTACCATGAAATTTATCCTGTAGAGCAGAAACTCTCAACCTTTTTTCTTCTCTACACACATGCAAGATGAGAAACACTAATAATGGGCATACTGTGAATTACCCCAGGCAGAAAATAATCTGGAGAACATATAAATTCCTGAGCCCCTCCCTCTGCTCCTTCATCCCCTATCCTCCCAGGAAGCAGTAACTATGTTCCTTTCTCTCCCACAAAGAAAGTTACCTGAAAGCAAGTGAGATGGCCTACAGAAAGCTACCTTAAATCTACTTTAATGTATAAAGTTAAAAAGAAAAAAATCAATTTAAAAATGTTGTGATTTGTGATTTGCATCCCAATGTCAGGCCCTCCTCTTTCTTTTCTCTTCCTCTCTCATTCATTCCCATTGTTTTACATGAAAAATAAAAAAATAAAAATAAATAAATATCCTCTAGGTGCAACAACTCCCAAATGTGTTATCTCCAACCCAGGTCATTCTTCTGGACTCCAGATTCATTTCTCCTCAAATGTATTCTCTCTCATGCTCTTTCTCTCTTACACACACACACTTATCAAGAGGTGGCATATCAAATTTGTTCATACTGGAAAAGTCGGGAGCCACTCCCGACTCCTCCCTCTCTGTCATCTTCCACATCCAACCATCAAATCCTGGGACTTCTACTGCGAACACATTTCTCAAATCTATTCCATGCCTTTTTGCCACACTATCATAACCCAAGCCAGCACTGGCTCTAAACAATGAATAAGTTCCCTCTCAAGTGCTGTCCTGCTTCTCTTCCAGGCTCAGAATGATTTTTCTAAAACATAAAACAGACCATATCATCCCATCTTAAAACCTTTCAACTATTTCCAGAAACACTAAGAATAAAATTAAAGTCTTAAAAATGACTTACAAGGCCTTGATTCAGCTGGTCCCTGTTTAACTTGCCAACCTCATTTTAGGCTACGCTGCCTCAGTGAATTCCAGCCACAAAGAACTTCTTTCAATCATTCTAACTCATCAAGCTAATCCCTGCCTCAAGCTTTCACACATTCTGCTCCTACAACTGAAAACACTATTCCCCTAACTCTTTGCATGGCAAGGGACTTCCAGCCTTTAGGTCTCCATTTTAAGGTCATGTCAGAAAGCCCCTCTTTCACCATTCAGTCTAAAGTGCTTTCCTCCTCTTTTTTGAAAAGAATTTACTTATTTTTGGTTGCACTGAGTCTTTGCTGCTGTGTGTGAGCTTTCTCGAGTTGCAGCCAGCAGGGGCTACTCAGCGTTGAGGTGCATGGGCTCCCCACTGCTGTGGCTTCTCTGGTTGCGGAGCACAGGCTCCAGGCACACAGGCTTCAGGAGCGGTGGTGCCGGAAGCTCAGCCACTCTGCAGCGTGTGGATTCTCCCGGGCCAGGGATTGAACCTGTGTCCCCTGCACTCACAGGCAGATTCCTACCCACCTGTAACACCAGGGAAGTCCCCTCCTCTTCTTATTTTCTCCTTATGGCACCTAATTCATTCCATTATAGCACTTATCACAGTTTGTAATTATATATTTGTTTAATGCTTTCTTAATATCTGTACCCATTCAGAAAGCTTTAAGTTTCATAAAGGCAGGGTTCAGATCAATTTTGTTTACCATTATATCCCTCAGACAGTCAGGTATTCAATAAATACTTACTGAATAAACAAACATGAAATTAGTTGCCACACACCTCACAACTAGGAGTCAAAGTACCAGAATCTAATACAATCAGAGAATGGTTAGAATGAAAGTAAACAATTAAAAGAGCTGGAAGTTTAAAAAAGTTGGAGCCTGCTCATGGGATAGTGAAGCCTAAGATTTCAAAAGAAGCAGTGTTTTGGATGATCACAAAGTCCAAGATAAAGCTATGAGAGTAGGTGGTGTAATAATTATACAATTATCATTGTATAATCACATTTATTTCATAATCAACATTAAGCATGTATAGAAATATTATACATGTATTTTTTAAATTTTTAATTGGAGGATAACTGCTTTACAATATTGTGTTGGTTTCTACCATACACCAACATGAATCAGCCATAGGTACACATATGTCCCCTCCCTCTCAAATCTCCCTCCCACCTCCTACCCCATCCCACCCCTCCAGGATGTCACAGAGCACCTGATTTGAGCTTGGTGCATCATGCAACAAATTTTCATATCTATTTTACATATGGTAAGTTATTTTCCATGCTACTCTCTCCATTCACCCCATCTACTTCTTTCCTCACTGTGTCCACAGTCTGTTCTTTATGTCTGCATCTCCACTGCTGCCCTGCAAACAGGCTCCTTGATTCCATACATAGGTGTTAATACACGATATTTGTTTTTCTCTTTCTGACTTATTCTGTATAACAGGCTCTAGGTTCATCCACCTCATTAGGATTGAATGTATTCTTTTTCATGGCTGAGTAATATTCTATTGTGTATATGTACCACAACTTTTTTATTAATTCATCTGTCGATGGACATCTAGGTTGCTTCCATGTCCCAGCTGTTGTAAATAGTGCTGCAACGAAAGCTGGGGTACATGTGGCTCTTTCAATTATGGTTTTCTCAGGGTATATGCCCAATGGTGGGATTATTGTATCATATGGCAATTCTACTCCTAGTTTTTTAAGCACTATCCATTATGTTCTCCATAGTGACAGTATCAATTTACATTCCCACCATGGAGTAAGTAAGGTCTTTAAAGGGTCATCTACACTGATCCTGAACTTTCAATGATGTTTAGAACTATGATAAAAAGAAAATAATTTCAGAAGGTAGGTATCATAATTGAGAAGACAGAAGAGAGACTTGAAGCAAGAATCACACTGATTTAGAGTAGAGAAATGTACAAGTTCTCTCTTCGTGATCCCAGACATAGTTCTAAGAACCAGATCACTGAATCTGGAGAGCCCTGTGACTTCTTTATCTTTAGAATACTGAGCTAATTCCAGACAATGCTCTTAACTGCCTAACAGTTTCTGCTTTCTGAGTCTTAAAGCCCTGAGCAACCACACAAGTCTGGGCTACTCTGCTGGACAGCAAGCAAAGAGGAACTAAAGAACCTCTTGATGAGGGTGAAAGAAGAGAGTGAAAAGCCTGGCTTAAAACTCAACAGTCAAAAAAAGATCATCATGACATCCAGTCCCATCATTCCATGGCAAACAGAAGAGGAAAAAGTGGAAACAGTGACAGATTTTACTTTCTTGGGCTCCAAAATCACTCCAATCAATGACTGCAGCCAAGAAATTAAAAGATACTAGCTCCTTGGAAGAAAAGCTATGACAAACCTAGACAGCATATTAAAAAGCTGAGACATTAACTTTGCTGACAGAAGTCTGTATAGTCAAAGCTATGGTTTTTTTCAGTAATCATATAAGGATATAAGAGTTGGATCATAAAGTTGAGTGCCAAAGGATTGATGCTTTTGAATTATGGTGCTGGAGAAAACTCTTGAGAGTCCCTTGGACAGCAAGGAGATCAAACCACTCAATCCTAAC